GGTGTGCGACGTCGACCGCCGCTGGAACGGACCGCCGCCTCGCTGCGAACGTAAATTTCGTTCCCCGCTTGCATGATGAACATTTTGGGGTAGTTTCGGATCCACGGGGTCATTCGGGATGAACTGATCACTTCGCACATTTCTACCACCCCGAAGCAAATAGCAGGATCGGCATGCCATTAGTTCAATTTTCCTAAAAAAAAAAAAAGGAAAGAACTGTGCTATTCAAAAAAGAACCCGTCCTTGGGTATAATACTTGAGGAGCCTCCAAAAATATCAGCCCTTCCCTGGAAATAATCACATGCAAACATTTGACTGTAAATTAATCTTGGAATTGTTGTCATTTCGTTTTAAATTTTGGGTTAGCTTATGCAAGATTATACGACTGTTAACTATGCTAGCATCTTAGTCACGAAAAATTCCCGGAATAATAACAAAATTCTTATTTTAGTTCACTGCACTTGAGATATTAGCGAGTGTTAGTCCATACCAGCAGATTCTTAATCGAAGCTTCATGGAAATGAAAGAAGGAAACTATAAATAAAACCCGCGATAAAAAAATATAAATCAGCGCAGAGTTGACAACAGCTTTTCTGCCTGTCATTCCAGGTATTCTATACGAAATGTGCATAGAATGTTTTCACCTTTGAAGCCCAAGAATGATTATTCTGCTCGCCGCAGGGTAATTTATTGAGAAGCTCCGCATCTTAATTTCATTAGCATGAGCTCCTTTAAAAAAAATATACAGTGACCTGCTCTTCAGGTCAAAACGGTTGAGAGGCTCTGCTTTGAAGTTTAGAAGATAATAAATAAGCCGTTCCACAATATATGAAGAAATTTATAATAATAGATCAGCTTGATGTTGAGAAAATGTCGCAACTCGAGCACGTTCATGCAGTACGTAGCGTATAAAAATAATTGAATAACAGCACTCAACCGACACTTTATGGCTGCATCCTGATCTTCAACATAGAATATCCCAAAAGCGTAAAAAATACTAGGTATTTAAACTCAAATTTTGTTGGGGTAAAGCTTGCCGAAGGCATATGTAGCGATTAAAAGACAAATGCAAACCCCGAATGCATGACATTCTGCCAAATAATTTTCATTTCTATTCCTGAACGCCACTTGAAAAATACTCAATTTTATCTGATCATTCAGTTGGATTTCAAGTTCGTTGCCACATGCAAAAATAAAATGAAAATTATTAATCGTCACGTATGATGTGAAAGTAAGGAGACGTTGGCATTTGAAAGCAAATTTTTCAAGACTGCATCCTAGCGTACATCGTTATTATGAATGAAAGTTTCCACTGTCATCTGTCAATCTCGTCATACCTTGAATTAAAACTGTCAATCTTCAATTTAAATACCTAGTATCTCGATCGTCACCCAGCATGCTTTGATATAGTATAGCATTATTTTTGAAACATTTTTTTTTTATATTTTGGTAGGCATAATATTCCTTAAAAAGGGAGGAGCACCGTGTTTTCACTTCTTCGGGCATTGAAATTTGCATGTGCGAGGTAATGCACGAATACAGTACCAGCAATTTTGTCGCGTGGTACTGCTTGCTTATACAGAATATAGAAATACCGTAATTAGTTTGTCAACGTTTGACGTCGTGAATGGGAGAAGAAATTTGGAAGAAGTTTGTCCCGAATGACGCCAGTGGTGGTCACCATTGCACATTTAGTTGAAGGTTATCACGTTTGTGTTTGTCTTACGACTTCTGGATGTTCCATCCTGAGAGCATGACTCGCGGAAACGTCCGACAGTCTTGTCGAATGAAAATGCCGGAAGTTTGGAACACAGCATGTCACAGAGCCCGTTTGAAATCAGTAGAGCATCCTACCAAAAGGGCTTCCAAAAGTTTCAGATTTTTTATTTGGAGGAAATTTCGCTGCAATCGTTCGTGTAATGCCAGTATATTCTGTCCTGTTCTTCGGTACTACTCGTAAAATTATTCCCAATATTTTCTATGAAAAGAAATCGGATGATTTCTGGCGGAAATCTCAGAAGAATCTTTAATGGACGCCGTTTTTTCGTGTAATTTTTTCAGATTTTGACCTGCAAAGAGTAAGAAAATGTCTTGAAAGCGACGACGTCCGAGATTTTTTTTTGCGATGTCTGATTATATTCGGTGGTTCAAAAAGTGCTCTCATCCAATTCAAATGTCTATGTCCTTAATTCACTTAACATCGTTATGTGAATTCTCACAACTACTGAGAATAATTTAAGGCCTAATTTCGACTAGTAAACTGAAGCTTCAAAATTTGAATTTGAGAAAGTATCTTTTTCTTTCAGGGGAAGTAACTTGTCTTTCCATACTTATATGTATATCTTTTCAAGTTGATTGCGCCAGGAAATAATTAAGCTTTTGCAGTTAAATCTAGAATCAAGCCTTTGCAGTGAAGGTCCTAGGAGCATTGTGTTTTTCGTGATAACGTTGTTTCGTGATAAAGTTGTTCAAATGTAACCTTGGTTCAATTTTCAGCTTATCCGACATAATCTTGCGTGTTCGTCTAGGATTCGCTTTCACACTTTCCTTCAGCTCAAAAAGCTAATAAGTTAAGACGCGACTCAAGATCGGTCTTTCTATTCGCTCAAAAATGGAATTCTGCGTCTTTTGACGAAAATTGACTCTTATTTACTGAAAAAAAACTTTTGGAAGCCCTGTTGAACGACGTAGTTCCGAGCTTGGCCGAGTAGTCTTAGAGGAAAAGAGGAAAAAAACGAATACCTCCGGGAAGCCCTTGTATTACCATGTCGGAGGGCACGATTTGTGTGTTTGTTCCAGCGGTGAAATGTCCTTTGCCGCCGACGATCGATAACGGGAGCTACCGGATCTTCACGTCGGGCGAGCCGGCGACCATACCGGTACTCGGTGACGTCATAGAATATTCTTGCGTGGACGAGAATTTCGTCCTTGAAGGGGAAAATGCGTTAACGTGCATGTCGACTGGGTTGTACGATCGAAAACCTCCCACTTGCAAAGGTAACCAGAGTTCCCTACGGAAGAATACCGCCACCATGATCCCCTCGTTTTTAAAACATGCTCGTGACGATTTATCGTGTTTCTCAAACCTACTAATGGATCTGTCTCAGTCACCTGGCAATTTCATGAAGGAAAAATCACGCTATTTCCGGTGATGGATTCTGTTTTCGCACCTTTTGTTCGAACAGGGGTGGTTGTGGTCTTTTGATGTTGTGGGCTTTGTTTTCTTGTCGTCTAAGGAAAGGAACTTTCAGATGACCTTATCGGATGATCTATAAATTCGGCCCGAAATTGACGAAAATGATGACTAAAAAGCTTATAGCGCTAGCCAATTGAATAATACAGTCGTATTGTGTTCATGTTCACAGTGGGGGACAATGTACAGTACAAGCTTACTTTTTTGTAGCATTTCTCTACAAAAGCAGAAAGGTCTTCCAACAAGAAAGTGTTGAAGGAAAACTGTACGTGAATCCATAACTCATAATATTCTTCCTTAAATAATGGAATCTATTCGCTGTAAAACTGCTCCTGAAAAAATGTTTCTCGGCACTCAAGCTCTCGATATAGAAAAATAATATCGATCGGAAACAAAAATCTTCCCTGAACTACACGAGTACAGTGTAACGTTTTCGTAGGTAAATACCAAGACCGCTTGCTGAAATTTATCGAGTAAAAATTTGAAGAGCTTTCTCCAAACATAAAGCATATTTCGTCAATATCATTTCAAACTTTTTCCGGAGCTCTAATGTCAAACAAGTTGTTTTCAGTTAATTTTCCAGAAATTGCAATATTGCTTACCGACGAAAATCAATTGTATTCATTTCAAAATATCGTGATCGTTCGTCATTGTCATATGAAAACTTCATCGAACTGAAATTTGGATGATGAACAGTGATAACTAGCAGCCCGATATCCTTTATTTATTTATTATTGGCAAATGAAGTACAGATCATCCACATTCAGAACGAGTACAGCTTTTCAAAGCGGTGCTTTCATCCTAATTTGTTGAGCGCCGTTTTGATCTTTTCAGAATGTGAAGCTAAATTTTTAATGCATTGGGTTATTCTTGGTAATTTTTTCCTGCGGCAAAGATTAATGGCCAAATTTTTCAAGGGTTTCATCCATAGCGATGTTTTCCATACAAAGAATAATTGCTCTCGTCTCGATTAAGTATATCAGAAGGTCCTTTGGAATAATACCATCTGTCTAAAACAATATTTTTCGGCCCTGTTAGCATCGTAGACATAGATATACTTGTATTGATAAAGTCCATATGCATCAAAGCAATAAAAGTCGATGGTATGAAAGCATGACTAATTATTTCACCCCGTTAGTTAGTTGTTCTCACTAAAATAAATGCGTGCTGCTCGTTAAAAGTCGTGCTGATGCTCGATCGTACTCGTGTATGCTCTGGAAGCGAAATTAATCCGTATTTAAATGTGACAGAGGTGAGAAAAGTGACGGTGGCGACGCCGACACCGACTCAGAAGCCCAACTACAGACTGCCGCCAGGAGACGCTGGTAGAAGTTCTGGCTTTAGCTGCTGACAGTGAGCGGGTGGCTGCTGGCAACGGTTACACGGTCTACTGTTGCTTCACCTGGAGCGGGCTGGGCCACTGTTGCTCTAGGGTCTGTCGCTCAACATCAGGGACCAGATCACTCCTGGAATCAACATCCCTCGCGCTAAGGAAGAGCAGAAGTCCATTAATGCGGCGAAGTTGAACCTTGGTAATTCATCGTTTTTCTTTAATTGGGAATAATATGACCTCGCGAACCGTCCTCTCACTTCCTCATCCCCGAAATTAGACGAGTAATAAGTGGCTAATAATGGTCATTTGCGTGAAAACATTTCTAGATCAGGTTTATTTTACCGACATTTTTATCTGCAAAAATCAGGATGCCCTTCGTACACGAATGAGTCGCTTGGTGTTCGAGTAAAGGAAAAATTTTAAATTATTTGAGCTTCTATCGACCGACCATCGAATTATCCGAACCAATTTCGCCCCTCAGTCAGAGCTTCATCCTTTGTTTATTGCTTCGCGCATTATTTCTCAGACGTTCAAACTGCATTCTTTATTTAGATCTAATTTCATGATTAGGAGAAAAAATCTCGGTCGTTTTTCTGGAGGTTCTTCGCTTTTCAATTCCAACTGTGAATGATGCTCATACACATTACTCAAGGTCTGAATTGGATTGGATTATCGGAGGTTTTCGATGAAGACGGTGTCTCGCTGCCCACTTTTGCAGTTGACCGCGAGTCGAAAGAAATATAACTTGGGCTTGAATGAAAGGTTCCACTAATTTGAGAATGGTTCAGCACAATTCCTCAATAATCAGTGGACTAGTTTCTTGCAGTAAATTGAGGCTAGTCACCTTGAAAACTTTTCTTAATACGGTATGGTCATGAGTAGAAATTTCAAAATGAGCACCACGCGTTTTTATGCTATACAGTACTTCGCTTCGACATTACTGCATATACTGTATTTAAGAATTTGTAGATAACTTCGGAACACGATGTTTCGATCGTACGAACCTTTTTTCGAGCCAAATTCAACTGACGAGTAAAATGAGATTGCTGTATGGAAAAGGTCGTTCTGTGCATATCTCATGCTTTGTGTATCCGGAAAAATTTCCTTCATTGGTTTCACATCCATTATAAAATTGGTGCTGAGTCGCTTGATTTTTCTCCCTTCCTAATTAGAGAGGTCGAGTTTATTAGTTCGCTTCTTAAATTGTTGAAATACCGTTTGGTTCGTTTGATTTTCCGAATTGTTGTGACCAGTACACGATTTTCATCTTTTTCTTACAGGTGGCATAATCGCTCTTGGAGTATTTGGAGGATTCGTTTTCCTTGCTGCAGTGATCACAACAATTGTTATACTAGTTAGAAGGTAAGTGTGGCACAAGACTGCGTTGTAGGATTTCTTTGCGCTGTGATGAGTCGGATCTCGGGTTTGTAGGATTGAAGAATTTGCTTATTTCTTTTCCCGTCGCTAATCTTATTGCGAAGTTGCGTTCCTTAGTTCGTCGTAGAGAAACCATTGCGTGCGTGTGGATTGAAGATGAGCTGCTTCTGAAACTGTATTAGGTTGCGGCATGATTGTAGAGAGGTTTCTACCTTTCATGTGTTTTTCGGAGCTGTTTGCAGGAGAAAAAATAACGAGCGCCTGGCTTGTTCCATGGGAAACCATCCGGTGAAGATGGGGTTTGGGACGGACCCTGATGCCGCGGATTCCTTGACGTCTCGTTTCCTCTCGACTCTCCTTTTTCTCTCGTTAACGATTCTGTCTTGGCCTTGGAAATATTTTTCTGACCCTTTTTTTTGCACTTTTTAGAGTCCTGCAATGACACCGTATTTTTCGGGCTGTTTGCTGGAGAAGGAAGCATAAAAGAAGCTTCTTTTGTCAAGTTTTCCAGCAGACCTCTTACGCGTGTACAAAAGTTCCGCAACCAGAACTACCATTTTATTTTTCTTCTCTTGCTTCGACGATCCTCAATTATTTTGTGGATTGTGTCACTGCTTCCAAAATGTCTTTTCCGGAATTCCTGAGACTCTTTCAATTCAGCAGTTTACGTACATTTGCACCTTCACGTTTTTGTCTCCGATTAATGCTTGGCATGACCTATACTTGAAATCGAATTTCCGTGATAATTGTGTCCGGACCAGCTTTGATGTAGTTTATACTTTGATCGAAGTTTCCGAGCATGAAAAATTGAGGGATTTCTGAAGAAACTCGACGACGATAAATTATTTGAATTGCTGCTACTGGTTTCAAATTGCGCTAGTTTTCCCCAAGAGAAAACCTTATTTCCTGATTTAGGATCACAGTTTCAAGCATTTTTAAATGACCTTCGTAATGTTTGAGATATTCTGCATATGAAGGCCTCCGTCAATTATGTTCAGCTTTTTTTAATAAACGGAGAATTTTTACGCTTTTCAAAGCCCTTGAAAACTGAATAAACGAGGAATGCATTTATTTCCTGTCCACACATCGTACGCAACTCCATTCGTCTGAAGGTCCTTGTCTGAAATTCTGAAGAAGAAAGAATCTCATTGTAACTTGCACAGCATTCGACGCATTTTCACGTTTCTTCTCTAGGATCTTTCTATTACTCTTTCCGAATGACAGACGATCCTCAATTATTTTGTGGATTGTGTCACTGCTTCCAAAATGTCTTTTCCGGAATTCCTGAGACTCTTTCAATTCAGCAGTTTACGTACATTTGCACCTTCACGTTTTTGTCTCCGATTAATGTTTGGCATGACCTATAGTTGAAATCGAATTTCCGTGATAATTGTGTCCGGACCAGCTTTGATGTAGTTTATACTTTGATCGAAGTTTCCGAGCATGAAAAATTGAGGGATTTCTGAAGAAACTCGACGACGATAAATTATTTTAATTGCTGCTACTGGTTTCCAATTGAGCTAGTTTTCCCCAACAGAAAACCTCATTTCCTGATTTAGGATCTCAGTTTCAAGCATTTTTAAATGACCTTCGTAATGTTTGAGATATTCTGCATTTGAAGGTCTCCGTCAATTATGTTCAGCTGTTTTTAATAAACGGAGATTTTTTACGCTTTTCAAAGCCCTTGAAAACTGAATAAACGAGGAATGCATTTATTTCCTGTGCAAACATCGTACGCTACTCCATTCGTCTGAAGGTCCTTGTCTGAAATTCTGAAGAAGAAAGAATCTCATTGTAACTTGCACAGCATTCGACGCATTTTCACGTTTCTTCTCTAGGATCTTTCTATTACTCTTTCCGAATGACAACTCCATTCGTCTGAAGGTCCTTGTCTGAAATTCTGAAGAAGAAAGAATCTCATTGTAACTTGCACAGCATTCGACGCATTTTCACGTTTCTTCTCTAGGATCTTTCTATTACTCTTTCCGAATGACCTGTGGTTTCTGCTGACTGAGACAGAGAACCTTCCGCTAAAACGTTTGTTCCCTCCGACAACCTCTATTTGACTTGCAGGTCCCGCGAATCCCGTTATTAGCATGCAAGATCGCTGTGAAACGGCATGGATGTGTATGTCCCATGGAGCAAGCAGGCATTGTTGTCGGAGAAGACCTCGTGACTGGCTCTTTGACCCATTCCGGCTCTTTCCTTCCTCCTCATTCACTCAACGGCGAGCGGTATATTTTGTGTCGTTGACAGAAATCAAAACGCGAGGATGCGGCACGGGCAACGCTCGCATGACAGCGACACCATTTCGAGCATGGACTCCAGCGGCAGCGAGAGCCGAGGCTTGAATCGGTACTACAAACGGGCCTGGGAGAACCTGAGAGACGCGCCACCTGGTGCCCAGCAGTCGCATCAAACCAAGTCCTCCAAGCACCTGCCTTCGGTCTACCGACCAGACACGCTGGACAGTCCGAATTTCCGCGGTGGTTCCGTCAACGAGGGCATGCGAGACGGCAGCGAGATGGTCATCAGCGACGCCTTCGCCAAGCCCGGGCAAGGCGGCGCCGCTGACAAGAAGCGCCACCATCATCACCACCACCACCACCACTCGCACAAGCGTCGCCAGCAGCCCGGATATCCGCCCGCTGGACGCGGTAGTGGCTACTGATGAGCTCCACCGCACTGCTTCACTCGCTCCCACAACCGCTCATGTCGAAAAGCGAAATAACTTCCCTTACATACCCGCTGGTATATCTAAATAACTGACTGCTCTCCGTATATACAGCACAGTATCTTCTCTAACTTATAACGTGTAAAATTCTACGAAACGTCATCCCCCGTATATTATCGTCATCCACAATTACATGTCACTTTCTCATCACTTTCTCATTTTTACTGTTTTTTCGCTCACCATCCCAAATTCCGTAATGTTCAGCCGAGAGTATTCATTGCAACATTGGACCAAAAATTTGGGTTTTTATTGTTGCTCTTCATAAATGCGAAAGCAATCAGTGTACGATTGAATTTATGGCGGATTATTTCATCTTGCAGCATCCCTTCGTGAGGAAGAGTTGCATACTTTGAAAAGTGTGAAGTTCGATACAGTAATTTAATCCGCCTGGATCGTGAAGGAAACGTCCCTCGAAGAACTGTCCTGATATTTTTAATCGCCTGGTTCCATCGCATATTTCGTTCAAGTTTGAGGGATAACACAAAGATCCTGGTCAATTTTTGAGAAACTTATTTGTATTATTAAGGTCAATCGATAGCGCAGCAAAAAATAGTTTGCGCATATGATTAAAGTATTTATGATTATGTTCTATTTCCCATCGGAAGATGATAAATTTATCAAAAGCATGATTACACCCGTCTTTCTGAATTACAGGGACGAATAATGTAATGAGATATGGTGGAAACTTGAGCATTCATCTTCGATAGACCTCAACTTTATACATTTCCTTTTCTGATGTTAGCTGCTTTCAAAATTAATTATCCTATCCAAGGGCGGAATCTCTTCCGTGATTCATATGCTTCGACTGCCTTTTTGAATCACTTGAATTATGTTTCTGGTTGGAATGCTGCTTTCTTGGTTGGCTTGCTGATGAGGAATTGTAATTTTTTCTAGCTTTTATTTCGTGGTGTTCAGCGGGAGTTCATTTTGCTTTTCGACGTCCTGGTTTGCCCCACTATCGCCCCTTCCTGTACTCTTCTCCCTCGCAACGCTTGCTAAAACGACGAGTTGGCCGGATTTGTGATACGTGCTTTGCTGGTTAGGTCATTTGTGATTCGAGAACGTCGCCTACGCATGGCGTTATTTATTTTTGTTTTTGGATGCGACGAAAAAAAAAAAATGTTTCTCCATTGGGACACGGGAGAAAGCGACATTTTCGAAGGGGGTGTGAGAGGATGAGACAAGTACGTGGAGACGACTCGTTGCCATTATTTGCTGCTATCCCCTGTGCAGCACGCCAGTGCAAATATATTTATCATGAAAACTCTTTCGGTCACATCGGCGAGTGTCATGATGGTTGACGAGACCTTCGTCGACGTTCGAGCGCTTGAACCTCGTTATAAATAGCTAACTCATCGCGATGCTTTTTTTTAAGAGTTCCGCTTAGAAGACCGAAAAATCGAATGAAATCGTTGAATTTGCTTTGTTGAATTGTATTGTTCTCTTGTGGATGAATTTGGACGAGCCTGGTTGTAAATACCCGTTAGAATGCTGAAAAACATCGCTTATGTGCATTATTACAAAACCGAAAAGTGTTCTGTTATTGCCTGATTTTTCGGATTTCAGATAGGTGTGAACATATGTTATGATTTTGACGAACTTCTCGGATTGTCTCGAACCCATTGCTCAAATTATTTAAATCTGGCAAAGACGATTCAGAATCGAGTTTGTAATGTGCACGTGTAATGTGCACACCACTCAACAATGTCCGGCGAAATTCAGTCGCGAAAAGATTAATGTCAACTTATTCAAAATCATATATTTTACAGCCCGAATAAAGTACGGAAATAATTTATTCCATATTGATCGCTGCGCCTCGTCGTTATCTGACTGAAGGAAACTTTTTGCGAGGAATATATTTTAAAAAATTCCACGCAGCTGCGAAAAGCAAGAACATGTCAAATGAATGAAAATATACAAAAACCTAGCATTATATTGCATGTCTGATGTGGAAAAGAATAATCAAGAATAACATCAATTTTGCTATAGCGCTATAACAGCAGGGACCCCGCATCGAATAAGTTTGGAAATTACACGGAAACTTTTCTCAAGATCATTTTTATTGTGGTATTGGCACTATTGAACCTCTTAAAATCAGATAAACTTATATTTGTGAGATCATGAAATACAGGGTGGACCAAAAAAAATTGAACAGATTTTAGAATTAGCATGTCTCAGTGAAAAATTAAGCTACAACAATGAAAAAAACCATATGAAAGCTTATCCAATTCTCTTTGTGTTTTAAATTCCAAATTGTCATCAAACAGTCACAAAAGCCGTTTGAATGAAAATTTTCAAATTAAATGTTGTCACAAGACTCTTCCTGCTAGGCTGCTGTCTCCAAAACCTCCCAAAAATTACCTTAAAATTAGAACAACCCACATCAGTGCACCAGAAAAAAATCCAAGATTAATATGCAGGCTACATTAGAATAAATAGGCCCATTAAAACCCACCCAGGCAAAAACCAGCAGGAAACAGAAAATTCGTCATGCACATGTACACAAAAACCCAGGACGCAGGAAATCACGCCACCAGACAACCACCTAATCAGCTCACTGAACATTCATTGGAAGATGAGCCGGAAAAACCAGGCCTGGGTGGACAAAGCAATGCCTAAAAATCCACGGGGAAAATAGTCTGAAGACCGCTCAACTCCTATGATCCACCTTATAAGGCGTATTCAAACTTCCAAGACAACGAAGAATTTCTTCACGAAGTGTGCTCCCCACTCCTTCCACTACCATGACCAAATGGACCTTCAAAAGGAAAGCTTGTTTCTTGCTGATTACTTTTTTTTATTTACAGCCCCATAATCACATAAAATACAAAGAATCGAAGGAGCGCACTTTTAAATACACGCAGTTTCACAGTGCAAAAAAAGAGCGGAGAATTAATCACATATACAGTATACTATTTACGGTTTTATATGCCGCCGAATACTCCCGTCGTGTTCCAAGTGCAGTACTGTATAAGTATGCTATGTACCGAAACGCTCTGTTATACATTGCATTCATTATGATTACCGTCGAGGAAACTCCTCTGACGCAAGAGGAGAAGTTGAACTGCAGCTCCAGGATTCAATACCTGAACAGGAGCTCTTTTGAGTCAAGTACGAAACGCTCAATCCAAGGCTGAGTTGATGTTCGTGGCGGTCTTGTGAACAATCTGAACGCAAGTAGCGTATTCCTTCTCCATTCAGCCTTCGTGACTGAGTTCCAACGTGAAGTGGCAAAAGAATCCTTGAACGTTCTGCGAACTTATACTGGAATTTTGGCGCACCGATGGCTATGTTACGCAACTGAACCTTCCTGGCACAGCTTCACATCGGATTTTATTCATCAGGATGGTTCTCTGTCCAGAATTGGGAAATTGCGAGCCAAAGTAGGACAATGCTTTATCGTTTTGAACGGCAAACATGTTCAAGAAAGCTACGAATGTAGTCATGGGACTCATGGCCATGGTATTCAAGTGAGAGCATGTTTTTGGATTGTACAGTAAAAAAGTTCGGATTATGATTTTCCCAGTCCAGATTCTCCAGAATTTCAATTTTCATGCCCAATTTTTCTATGGCCGCGCGGCTTTCTATCATTTTAAGTTACTGGGTGCATTTTCTATAAAGGTGTCAAGATAAAACTCATTTTTAAAAAGTCGAATGAGGAAATGATTTGCGATCAAGCTAGCATTTTGTGAACAAGGTAGTTTTCTGAGTATGGGTTTCAAATCATCGCGTGAGATGCTTTTGTGAAACGTTTCCATTTCGTCTCATTTTGTCTTGTCGAGCGCTATATACCGAGCATGTACACAAATCCTTTTCATCGTGCCAAATTTAGCACTGGTTATAAGGTACGAGAGCCACTCGTTCTTATACGGTATATATTCGAATTCAAAGCAGCTTTCATTGTTATTCGTGGATAGTGAAAATGTTGCAAACCAAAATAATTAAAGAGCAGTGTCAACTAGGGAAATTACTGTAATTCGGCGATGTGTATCCAGCATGCTGAAAGCAATCAGCACATCGACACGCATCGTCACACGTTATTAGTTTTTCTGAATCCTGTCCTCTGATTGCAGAATATCAAAAACTGTATTCGAATGCATCGAATGCTGTAAATTTGGATTTCTCCTTATTTTTACGGGTCCATATTGTGCTAGTCATGGTATGCAGTCATTTTTTTAAATTTCGTGAAAATGATCCGCTAACGAAGAGTTCAATAAGCGGGCTAGCCGTCGAGAATTCCTCAAGAACCATCGTCCCAACTTGTGTACAACCGTTTTATATACGTTTTCAAGCTTATGGATTCATCACAGGTCTTTTTCGCAAATGATTGGAAACTTTATTTACGCGTTGAACTGGTAATCTTTTCAATGTCCAAGTGTTTTGCTTGACGACGTCGAAGGAGTTCTTATTGCTTCGGTTTTTTTCATGAAAATGCATCACATAGAAACCAATCTCAGTATAATCTTATGCTAGAAAAACTGTTTTTCTAGCCGGTTATTCAGCAGTCCCAGTATCTTTGAGCATGCTACATATAATTGAATTATCGAAATAAGACAAAGATTGGTTTCTATGTGATGTATTTGGAAAATGCCACTTCCAAACTTTCCGATTTTTTCTCAAATATAGTATATCATTCACGGCTTGTTGCCGGACTCGAAAAGCATGCCTTTCGATAGGTAGATATTTTTCCTCTCTGCTCATCTAGCTGAATAAAAATAATCGGTATGCGACGAACAATTCGTGCGTGCTTCAGTGTCTCGTACCCGCTGGACGCATTTGCTTTCTGATTTTATTACTCGGGTCTTGCTCACTATATAGCTCCCATATTCTCCCTCCGCACGAGAAACATAAATCCCGACAAAAATTGTCAATTCACAAATTTGTAACCGCGGTGTCATCATTTCATTCATCGCATTCGATCATGCGTGAAAAATCCTGATGGTCCTGGAACAATGCATATTTCCGTGTTTCCTAAGAAGACGCTAGTGCTACCACCGGAACGACGAGAAAAATCGTTTCCTCATTGCAAGTGATTCTTCGGCTAACCGGGGAACAACAGGCTGACCATCGATCATCATGAAGGGAAGAAACAGCGATATTTTCTTCATTCATTCCCGTGATGTCATCGGTTAAGAACAGATCGAGGATGTTTGCTCAGCTGTGATCAGCTGCTTTCAAAATCGGAGATCCGACAATTTCTGTTGGATTGATAGTTATGTGTTACACATACAATATATGCTGCAGGAAAAGTTTCTCTTCAAAAATGTATGGCGAGCTAATAGATTGAAAAATATCATGGATTGTAAAAAAAAAAAAACATTGTACAAAGAATAAATCATACAGAGGAAATAAAGGTGATCTTGGTCTGAGTTTTCATACGAATTCGAAATAAAACAATGCTAAACCTACGCTTTATAAACAAAACAGCTTCGGGGTAACGGATTCTATTCCCGGGACAGAACTAACTTGACGGAAAGGTTGTAAAAAACATGCTTATTCAGGTAAACATTTGCGTCAAAATCAGAAGGATGGAATGTACTGAATCACGGAAATTCTGATGTGTGCGAGGATTTTATGATCTGTGCAACCTGCTTCGACGTTTCCAAAGAGAAAAAAACTTCCATTGAAGTATAAAAACTGGACTGTTATTATTTCAGATAAATCCTGATGATCTCCTGAAACTTGCATTTTCTATACCAACTTTCGCTTCACGCTTATCGGAAGGGGTAATGGTTAATGATGTGAACCAAATTTTCCCGGGATTCTTGTAATAGTGCATTATTCTTTTCGTAGTATCCGTTAAGTGTTCCAGTTATTGTCAAACATGAAATATTGCCGCCACTTACGTCGCATATTAAACGAAACGGCCATGTATAAACGTTAACATCCTAGAAAGTACAGTCAAACCCTGATAAGACGCCACCATTTTTCCAGTACAATTTTGGTAGTTTAAAGGGGTTGGCGGTTTATCAAATATTTAATTTTAATTATTTGATCAAAATTACTCAATTTTCCTCCAAAAGTCATAGAAATACAGGTTATGTATATAAACTTCAGTAGTTCCCCAAAGAGTATTGCTGTGATTAATGGATTACTCTTTCAGAGAATAAATTTTGCTGCATAAATTTATTCAAATTTTAAGATTATGTCGATACATTTTTCAAACTTTTAAACAAAATGATCATTATTATTTTTTTATTCTTACAAATACAAGATCCTTGGCAGAAATTTTATTTCTACCCCAATGTTGGCGTTGTAACAAAGACAAAACTAATTGGAAACAACCCTTTTGTTTCATCATTAATGCTGGCAGCATTTATTGTGCTTTTTTTCCATTGTGACCCGCATAATGCTTTTCTATTTCAATGTGGCCCTTGGCCACTTCTGAGTTGGGCACCACTGCCATAGAGGATTAATTTTATGGTGACGAGGGACACCATTTTGAAAAAATGGATTTCAGCCTATCAAGTTATTGTTACTTTACAGGAGAATTATGATGTGAATTTATACTGAGTCAGATTCGATTATCTC